AAGACATGACAAAATAATAATTTATAAATTATCAGGGACTCATGAGGGAGTGGGGAATGGAGAGGGAGGGGAAAAAATGAGGACCTGATGTTAGGGGTTTAAGTGGAAAGCAAATGTTTTGAGAATGCTGAGGGAAATGAACAAATGTGTTTTACACAATTAATGTATGTATGGATTGTGATAAGAGATGTATGTGCCCCTAATAAAATGATTTAAATAAATAAATAAGAAATAAGGGTTATCATATAGTTACGGGTTTTTTGTTGTTGTTTATATTGGTTTCAAAGGTCTTCCTCCCCCAACCTCCTTCCACACAACAAGTGATTCTAAAGGCCTCTCAGGGAATTCTTATAGAATCTTATTTTCTGAAATCTGTCGCTTGGATACATGCAGTATCTCATTTCATTTGTCCAACTCTCTTGGTATATAGAAACAGAGGAGCTTATGAGAAGTCTTCTTAGTGACATCACTGGCATATGAAAGCAAGTAGCAAAGGGGCTTCTAGAAACGACTGTCCCCACACGGAAGCATCGGTTCTTGCAAGGTCAATGACACTGTTCGGTTGGTGATTTTTCTTCTGGGATTTCCAGACACTCAGTTCTTAGGACCGACTTTCTTTGTGTGCTGTTCTTTAGGCTGCAGTTAGACTTTGTGATTTCTGGTTCTTGTTGGGTCCACTGTAGCTCATGATGAGCACAGTGTGTGCCCAGTGGGAGGGTGAGCCACAGTCCCCGTGGCTCATATTTTAGAAGTACAGTAATGCTGCAGTGATCGAATGCAATTCACTCCAAAATCATGTTCCAAAACCCAAAAGTTCAAGAACGAAACAAATTTTCCCCATAGGAAATAATGGAAAATGAAATGATTGGTTCTGAGGCCCCCAAATTACACTTACAAATTCACTATGGAGGCTGTTAGCCGTGGGGCCCGTCACTGCCTTGGATAACAATCACCATCGAGTTGTTTCTGATTTACCCAAATTAATGGTAACTTTTCAACCTATTCTATGGTCTGAGTTCTTGGTTTCCTAGTTAACGATTTTACACCTTTCGATACACTAGCTGCTTTAATCACATTAACCCCTAAAAATATTGATAACTTAGCCATGTATTCAGCTGCCAAAACAGACAAGCAGTGCCTGTTTTAAAAGTGACAACAATTTCTTTCTTTAACTCTATTGTGGTTTTCCAAGTTTCCCCCTTCGCTTAGGAAGGAGTCCTGGTGGCGGAGGGGTTGCACTTTGGACCGCGATCTGTATGGTCGGCAGTTCTAAGCCATCAGCAGCTCCTCGGGATAAAGACTGGGCTTTGGAGTTGTACGAGCCCCCAATAAAATGATTAAAAAAACAAACAAATGAAAAAACCAAAACCAAAACTGGGCGTTGGACTCCAGTAAGCAGTCATAGCGCTGGAAAAGCACAGGGGCTGCTATGAGTCAGTATTGACTCGATGGCAGTGAGTTTGGTCTGGTTTCGGTTATTGCTGGTATCGCTACCTTTCTTTGGAGTCACGGTCACAAGATGTTACGCTAAGTGCAAAAAAAGCACAATGGGAGGGGAAGGGGGTTTGGTGAATAAACAATGAAGGCAGGAGGGGGTAGGGAGAGCTAGAACTGATTGTGATTGTACCACTCATTTTAAAGGCTACTCCACCATGGGGTGGGGAGGAGGGATTGCACTAAGATGTGGTGGTGATTGTACAATGCCCTTGATATGAATGAACGACTGAACTACTCAATTGCATGGTATGTAAGTTACGTGCCAATAAAAACAAAAACAACGCCCACAACAAATCATTAAAAAAAGAAAAAGCACAGTGGAATGTCTGAAACGCACTAACAAAAGTGGGATATGTTGCTTGAGTGAGAGCGGTGCTCAGACTGTGTCTGAGGAGAGACACTATGTGAGACTCACTCAGCCGGAACAGGATTTTACGAGTCGGATTTTTCAACAGGTTTTACAAGTTGGATTTTCAGTTGGACTACTGAGCAAAGTTAAGAACAGCAAGCAGATTTTTTTTGCACTTTGCTGTCCGAGTAGTGGAAAGTCGGGTCTCAGGGCCCTTGAACACCCCAAGGGATCACTGGAGAGGATGAAACCTTGTTTTCTGGGGTGCCCCTGAGTGGACCAGAACTTCCACTGTTCAGTTAGCAGCCAAACATGTTACCTGTTTGTACCACTAAGGGACTCTGATGTTGATGTTGTGATTGACTGAAGGGTATTAGTCTACTTAACTCTAGTGGAGCCTATAGTCCTCAGAGAAAGAGACGGATGGTTATCATGAATTTGTATTTTCGGCCCAGGTTAATTCCATGAAAGATGGAAGAAGACATTTTCTGCACATGTTGGTCGTCTCTAACACTGCAGGTTCTGAGAAATTATTCACGAAGACAATTTTAACTGCAACTTGTCCTCATCATTTGTTTATAGAAGTCTAGCAGCAAAAATGTGTGTCTTTCGTGATAGCTCTTTCTTGACTTTTCAACAAATACCTGGTTTCTAGAAACCCAAGAAGACATTAAATAATGTTGGAAACTTTCAGTATGAACACTCACCCAAACAAACAAACAAACAAACAAACAACCAAACAACCCAAGAACGGATCCCAGGTCCTACTTGAAGCAAACGTTTTACTTACTATGTCCATTTGCTCTGCAGAAGCGATGGAGAAGGACGCTCTAAAGAAAGGCCGAGGAGCCAAGCAGTCAATGAAGAAAGCGTACCCAGGCACCACTAATACCTGGGAGAGTTTGGGGGGAAAGAATGGTTTATCATTATGAAAAACGAACACAATACATAAGCAAGCCTGATCTCAGAGTGAGCAAAGGCTTTTAAGGGTTGAAAGCAGTTGAAGAAAACACTAAGAGAAGAACTCAATTTCTAGAAAAATTCTGTGTAGCATAAAAATAAACAAAACTGAAAACACAGAGAAGTATATTTGAAAGATATTTACAACAAACATGGCAAGTTCCCCCAAGAGAAAGATGTGGTAGTTGCCTGTTGATCACATTTATAGCCTTGGCAACCCCAGGGGCAGTTCTACTCTGTCCTTCAGGGTCACTGCGGTCGGAATTGACTCGATGGCAATGGGCACATGCTGTTACTGAGAGGAGAACAATTAGTAAAGTCGAAGTCCTTCCCGCCAGAAAGACGGTGTGAAGGTCAGAAACCTTCCCAAAGTGGGGGAGCCAGCGTTCACATCTAGGCTAAACCCCAACTCTACTCGCCGCCTTGGAGCTGATTCCAACTCAGAGGGACTCTGCAGGCCAAGCTCCGTCCCTGGAGAAGGACCGCAGGCTCGGTAAGGTGGAGGGGCGGCGAAGGACGTGAGGCCCTCAAGGAGAGGGACTGGCAGAGGGGCTGCCTCAGTGGACGTAGGCAGAGGAACTATTGTGAGGGTGGCACAGGACAGTGCGCTGTGTCCTTCCTTTGTGTGTAGGGTTGCTAGTGGTGGGGGCTGCTTCGATGGTATCCAACAACAACAACAATTTTTTCTTCTTTACATGATGCAGTCAACATTTTAGAACACATTTTAATATCTATAAGACAATGGATAATTCATGTTAAATGTTCCAGAGGTGAGTCTGACCAAACTTCTTTATAAGAAACATTCTAATTTTTCCTTTTAAGAGTGTCTGTGCCCAAGTGGAGAAGTTGTGCCAGCTTAAAACGAGACTGGAACATTTAAGTAGAATAAAGGAGTTTGAACTCTGATGGACCCATTTGGGGGTTCAGAACATTTGAATCTCTATTTATTGTACCAAACGCACCACCAGTCCCTTAATTGTGACTCACAGCGACCCTCTGGGGCAGCATGGAATTTCTCCTATGGTTTCCAGGGCTGTAAATTTTTATGGGAACAGAAAGTCTCATCTGTCTCTTGTAGAGCCACTGGTGGGCTCACATAGCTGACCTCGTGGTTAGCACTCAGACACATAACCAACCCACTATGCTATCAGGGTTCTTTACTTATGGTCCAGTACCTCTTATTTCTGGCCCCCTTTTTAGATAACAAACTGGAACTGCCTGTTATTCAGTTCCTAAAAGATGAAGTGATACTTGGGAAAAATTCCAAGTTCCTACAACTTGCAATATCCAAATATCTCTTTGGATCAAAGCAGGCCACGTGAAGTATAACTTGACCTAAATATGTAGTACAGCACAAGCTATTTTAAATAAGCCCAGAGTGCACTTCCTTTATCTCAGGCCAGCTGACACAGAATTAAAATGTCCTGCTTGCTTTATGGTGAGCTGAGTTAAAAGGGGTATATGGCACATGTTCTGGTGCTGTTTTTCGAACGAGTGCGTCAAATATACCTAGAAACAAGTCTAACATTGGAGGCACCCACATGTGTGTGTTAGCCAGTGTTAGTTAATGTAGATCTTCTGGCTAATGCCTTTGTTGCTACCACCAAAAGACCTTCCTTTTCCTGATGCGTCTGGTTAAGGAGGAGGAAGCTGGGAGTGACCGTGAACATGGTTTGGGAATGCCCTTCTGCTGAGCTGTCCTAGAAGCAGGAAGAGAGGATCTTACTTCAAACTAGAGAAGAGCCAGGGGTGGAGCATGACCTTTGGACCCCCACCATCCCTGTGCATCGACCCCCTTGATCCAGGACGGCTTTGACACCCAAGGAGCAGCAGTGGCCGAACCAGGAGCAGAAGCAGAGCAAAAGCCAGAGCAGTGGACCTCTCAGTCCACAGAGCAAGGGGAGCTGGCTGGTGGAATACAGTGTCTCTGGGCACTTAAAAATGGGCCAGGCTAGGTTTGCTGATGCTTGGTGCTGGAACTGAGGACATTCAGGTTGAGGTGGACAGCAGAGTGGCATGCCCTTGGGGCACTCATTGGTAGCCCTAAAAGAGCTTTGTAACACTGTGCATGTAGGGCATTGGCCAGGCCAAGTGGCTGAAGGCTAGAGAGAGGCCTGCCTGCAAGCATGGCACAGAAGTAACTGTCCTGACGGAATACCCGTATATACTTGAGTATAAGCCGACCCGAAGATCAGCCAAGGCACCTAATTTTACCACAAAAACTACATTAAAAATGTGCTGAAAAACTCGGCTTATACATGAGTATATACAGTAATTGTATCCAGAGCATTTGTCATCTGAATTGTAACTGATTACTTTCCTAATAAACCCAGCAATTGTCAACAGCATCTGTGAGTTATGTGTGGCCACTGCAGTGACTTGTCCAATCCAGCTAGAGACGTAGGGCACTTTGGGAGGGAAGGTTGGCATTAGAATAGGTGCAAAGGGATGGAAGACAGAGACCGTGTCTGACCTTGGCTTTGTGGCAACCAGTCTGGGGACCCGAGGAGGTCAAAGGTGGCCCTCACACCAGTTTCCACAGCAGTGAGTTTAGTGTTTGGTAAAATTTTTCTGTATACTTTTGTGTTTTCCAAATCTGCTATCATGAGAATACTTTATCATATTCGGGGAGGTAGGGAGGATGGGAATCTATTTAAAACACTAATATGATATAAAATATTGATAGTATTTAAAAAGTGTTTAAAATACACTTTTCACTAGTCTTATTTTTCCTCTCAGTAACCTGAGAGAGAAGGATTCTGATCATCCTCATTCTATAGACGGGACACAGCGAGGATAGGTAACTTACCTGGAACCATGCATCCAAGTAACCTGCAGAGCTGGGATTCAAACCGAGGCTCGCTGACTCTAGAGACTGTGATTTTAACCCCTAAGCTACTCACTAGTCAAAAAATGATAAGCTAGAAGGCACTATTCCCACTAACGTAGACTAGCTGATTAATTAGGACACCCAAAATCTATCATGATTTCAATAATGAGATAACATATGAAGCAAGCTTCAAAAAGTTTGGGGGGAAATGGAATGACAGGATACTGACACTTTTCCATGAACTTTTTGAATCCCATGTGAACCAAATATCCTATGTGATATTAAAACATTATGCACTGAAGCACTAGGCACAGAAAAACATCTCTACTGTTATTCAAATAAATAATTACTTTAAAGAAAAAACAAAGGACATTCCTTTCTCTCCACTTTACCTGATTCTTCATGGCTTTTTCTTCAATCAGTTGTTTTGTATCAGAAATGCCCTTGACTTTAATCCACAAAAACATTCCCCCAGCCGGAACATGCCATTCCGCCAAATCTGCACACAGAGAAGAGGATCACTATCTGGAGCCCTTTCAGATGATATCAAATATCAGCCTCGCGGGAGCAGCACATTGTAAGCTAGTATCTCTGAACAGTTTCTCCAATGGTAACATGTTAAAAACAGAACTTTAAAATGTTCTGGCTTTTATCTCAAAAAGCAAGTGAGCTGGGGGCGCCAGGAGAAAGGAAGGAAAGGAGAGTGTGTGGGTGTCTCTACGAGGCAGTCAAGAAGTGGGGTGCCTGGATCCCTCAGCGAGGACGACTTAGGACCAATGTGAGCACGGCTGCTTGAATTTTACAAGAGGGTTAGTTTCTTCCAGTGTTTCCATAAGTCCTATCACTCGTGGAATCGCTAAGAAAGCCAATGAATTACAATTTGATCAGAATGTAATTATTAGGACAGAGAAATCAAGGAGGAAGGATAATTATTTCAGGTTTAATGACTACCTGTTTGAAAAAGAAAACTTTCTGTTAATTAAACCTTCAACACTCTTCAAAGTGGGAACCTACCACAAACTGCCATCAAGTTGATTCCAGCTCACAGAGACCCTACAGAGGGTGTCTGCGACTGTAAGTCTTTACGGGAGCAGGTAGCCTCAACTTTCTCCTGCAGAGTGGCTGATGGGTTTGAACTGCCAACCTTGCAGCTAGCAGTCCAACACGTATCCAACAGCACCACCAGAGCTCCAATTTCAAAGCGGTAGGATCTTATGAAAAAAGTTGATGCTGAGAACGAGTTGATTACTTTTGATGTTGCATTATTATATCAATGAGCCCTGGTGGTGTATAGGTTACACAATGGCTAACTGTAAGGTCAGGAGTACGAATCCACCGGCCTCTCATAGAGGCAAAGAAGAGGCTATCTGCTCCCATAACCAGAAGGCTGCTAACCAGAAGGTTGGCGGTTCGAACCCACCAGCTGCTCCAGAGGAGAAAGGTGACAGTGTGCTTCTGTGAGGATTACAAGGCTCGGAAACCCTCGGGCAGATACACTCAGATCTGCTCTGCTTTATGGTTGCTATGAGACGGAACAGGCTTGTCAGCAGTGGTTTGCGTTTATTGGATTATTCATACCCAAAACATTTTTGATACCACTAACATCGTGTAATTCGTTTGACTTTTTTCCATAATAGAAAATCAAATTAGAAATAGATAACATTAGACTTTTTGAAAAATGAGGTGAATGATTAGGAGGCAAATAATTTGTAATGACAGATTCGCCTTAGATCATTCCAGTTTGTCTCTATCCTGTCTACTTTGAAAAGGAGCATACTGTTTGAAAACTTCTTTTATTTGAGGCAAAATTTTGAAACAACCTTAAAACCTTTTGTGTTTAGACATTATTTCTCTTTAATTATGTACCTGCTGCTTGATTTTTAGACTAATTTGATCCATTTTTTCAAGCCAGAAATTCTTGGAGATGAATAAAACAGAGGTTGGCAGAAGTGTGCTAGAGTTTGTAGTCTATTATTTCTGAGATCATTTATTTGTAGGGTAGTGTTTTCTTGGCAAGACTATTTGTAGACCACTGTTTGACACTTCCCCCTAGGGGCGGGGAGGGAGGGAGGGTGCACAAAAAAAATACACTATCATGGATTACACAACCATAATACAAGCATTTTTAATTGCCAAGGGGGTGTTGAATAATTTTTTTCTGTAAAGGGAGAGGTAGGCCAAATAAATTTGGAAACCTGTGCATCAGACTCTTGTTTCATTTCCGGGGACTGCTAGCAGTAGTAAGCAGTGCTGACCACCGCTCCTGCAGCTGATCCCAGGGATGGGATGTGTGTCCACTTACCACTCAGCCACTTGTTGGCAGCAGCTACCATTGTGTCCCGCTGGCTCCTATAGAACTGAATAACCCTAAAAGAGGGACATGGTGACAGGGACACCGTCAATGTACTGATGACAGGTATGCAAATGATTCTGGGATCTCATTTATAAACATTTGTCTCTTATCTTGGTTAAAACGGTGAAGGTTTAATATGAGAGCAGAGCATATATATTCGACTTAGCCAAGGGTAAACTTTTACAGTTGCATTTTGGTCTTCATTTTGAAATGAGTTAGTAAAATGAAAATGAATAAAGCTTGTATGAGCCCCTAATAAAATGTTAAAAAACAAAACAGAACAAAACCCACCAAAAGTCCAAAAAAAACACAAAAACACACACACTGCAAAAAAAGAAAATGAATAAAGCAAAGTAAATTTCTGAGAGAAATGTAGAACTTAAAAACAGTTCTCATAGAAGTAGCAGGATATGTCCTTTTTTTTTTTCATTTTCCAAAATAATTGTTGTCATTTGTCACGAAGGTGAACTTTCCGGGGCAGAGAAAATACTGTTTAAACGACGGACACACAGACACTCCCGTTTTCCTCGTTGTTCGATGGTTAGGAAGTGCCCGGTTTCTCTAACTGAAGGAGTTCAGAACTTATGCCACAACACTTGTTATTTAGGCAAACTGTGTCCTCGTGTACCATACTTGAGCCATTTTTCTGTGTCACGTGCCCTTCGTGGTTGGCGGATTCAATAAAAGACTCAGTGCATATGCATGTGTGTACCCTCTAGCCAGTTCAGTAAGTGAATCTTAACCTAGCGAGGATTATAGATGGTCTCAGCTTTCAAATTCTCTGCCCTCTGTCCCAACCTTATGCTCCTGAGAAGACTTTCTAGGTGCAGAGTGAATAAAATACAAAGACTTTTTGCTTCTAATAGGCTGTTCCTGCTGTCCCTCTGAGGACACATTGGAAGGGAGAATAGTAAATGAACACCCTCGGTGTGCACCGTGCATGCACTGGGCTCCTAGGTGATTCATGAGCTTTTAAGCTAATGACCCACTACCTCTGTACGTGATCCAGGAAGCCCTCTTGTCCCCACTGGTGCAGAAGCTGTGAGACCAGAAGCTGAGAGAGAGAAAACAGTAATACACATCATGGTTTATCCTCTAAGCTGTGCTTTCTTTTTGACAAAAGTCAAAGCAAATCACTCATGGTTACATGTAATCCTCCATAAGATATCACATGCTGAACCCAGCTGTATGAATGGTCAGTGATTAATAATGTTAATGAATAACAAGGGCAACAACAATCAGAATCATAAATATGGGTGCAAGACTTGTGATGTGCCGGGCACTATCCTAAGACATTATTAATATGTTTTAACTAACTTAATCTTTAGGCAGATTATCATTCCCAGTTTACGGATGTGAAAACGGAGGTGCCAGGGTAAAGTTCACTTTGCAAAGGCACACAGCTAGTGTCAGCGCCCACGTCGACATCAGATCATGCTTTGCTGCTGCTCTAAACCTCTAAACATGTCATAGATATTTAAAGTGGTATAACCTACATAGTTAGGGCATTATCTCCAAATACATTTTAGATGGGGAAGTTCGAAAAGTTATAAGTAGATAGTGAGGTTTTTGTTGATAACAGACTTTAAAAACATATGAACTAGTCCCAGCCTGATAAAACGGAGGGCGATTTATGGACATTAGGTCTCTACAGAAGCACAGCATCACACAGACTTTTCTATTCCTTTCCTGTTCTTCAGGAGCAGTTTTACCCCTGAGATCGGATTCACAAGACTGCACTGGGAAGGATGGGTACCAATACTTTCTCAAAGCTTGTCAGGAAATAGAAACATTCTCAAAAATGATTTTCCCTTTATTTTAGTTGAAATATGTTCCAACCAGTGTCTTTTGGAGGGGGTAGTACATGTGTATGGGAGGCAAATAATTAGTCACTAACAGGTTTGAAATCTTAGCTACCACCACAGATCCCAGGACAATGAGTACGAATTATGCTCCTTCACCAAGCTCAGTCCCATTTTCATTCCAGCAAAGGTTTTATGGATTTCCTGGACCATTTGCTAGGGACACACAATAAAACATTCCCTGACCAGCAAGGAATTTGGTCTATGCCTCAAAAGAATATCAGGTTAATTCAACTCTCGCTTACCTTTTACAGCAGATATCTGAATCTGGTATTTTAATTAAGTCCATATTGGAGTTGAGATTCAATAAAGTTGAGATTTTTTCCCCTTATTGTCACTATAACTCAACCTTACTTGACAACACGTATTGTCTATTCTGATCTGATAAGATCATTCAATTTCCTAAATTATCCTTACCTGTGTAAAAGTGTTGGGATGCAGTCCTGAAACTTGTGTGTGTAAGACAATTCTTTCTATCAAGGGTTTTGGACCTGTTATAAACCCTATTCTCAACCTACACAAAAAGAGAAAAGGCATGCTTACTGAATAGTAACAGTTATTAGTCACACATCCACATAGATTAATGATCAAGATGTTCTACTTTACTGATTTCATTAGGACAAGACGGGGGACCCTAACGGACAAACTGATCTACACCAGCGGTTCTCAACCTGTGGATTGCAACCCCTTTGGGGGTCGAACGACCCTTCACAGGGGTCGCCTAAGACCATTGGAAAACACATATTTCCGATGGTCTTAAGAACCAAGATACTACTCTTCTGTCCGTGTCCAGGCGGGTCCGCCCACATGCAGATACGCCCACATACGAGTACCCGGAGTGAAGACTGTTACCCATGCTACACCATGCTTCAAGACAACATTTCATTTATTTGTCATTAGAAATAAATATTTCACAATAGATAATTACATATTATATTTTGATTCATCACTATGCTTTAACTATGCTCCATTTGTAACCATGAAATTATATCCTGCATATCAGATATTTACATTAAGATTCATAACAGTAGAAAAATGACAGCTATGAAGTAGCAACAAAAATAATTTTATGGTTGGGGTCACCACAATATGAGGAACTGTATGAAAGGGTCACAGCATTAGGAAGGTTGAGAACCACTGATCTAGACATTTAAAATAGTCTACTAAAACTATTTCTTACTGAAAATGCAAATTTAAATTTAAGAATACACTTAACATGTAATGCAATTCTGACCTAATATATTTCCAACTGTGTGTGTTCACCTATCAATAGAAAAATGTGAACAGTCCCACCTTCACTTTAGGGTGATGGTGCGTGAGTGCCTTTGATTCCTGGTGATGGGAGGGGGAGGAAGAGTTTATGTTCACGTCAGTAATCAATCTGGTGTTTTAAGGCGGATGGAACACAAGTATCTTAAATTTTAAAAAAATGTGTGCACTAAAAGATACTATGGTACAGTCGCCTAACTCTTTCATACAAACCCTTCAGCGAGAGATGCAGGGCCTTACCCAGAGGAGAGCACTTTGGAAAATGAGTCAGCTCTGATGACGCGGCCATCAATATCCATGGAGAGAAATGTCGGTGCCCAAGGCTTCAGGTGAGACACAAACAAACCAAAAACAGAAGGTTTCAGAAGGCTGATCTTCACATGCAAAGACTTTGCATAGAGAGTGGACAGGGCAGGGTGTGGGGGTAAAAGTTGCACAACCAGCTCTCTAATACCTTTACTTCACCCCGTCTGAGAGGAATGTGCAACCGCGAGGTCACTTCTTAGCCTCTGCCTCTCCTCATGGATACTTCTGTCCAACACACACATTATGCTTTCCCCTCGGTGTTTTTCCATTTGCTCCAAACCAAACCAAACCAAACCAAACCAAACCAAACCAAACCAAACCAAACCAAACCAAACCAAACCAAACCAAACCAAACTCACTTCCATTGAGTCATTTCCTATGCATAGCTGTGCTACAAGGCCGGGTAGACTATCCTTGGGGGTTTCTAAGACTGTCGCTCTTCACAGGAGTAGAAAGCCTCATCTTTCTCCTGTGGAGCAGCGGGTGATTTTGATCTGCCGACCTTCTGGCTAGCAGCCCAAACATCATCATCATCATCATCATCATCAACAACAACAAATCCTTTTTGCTCCAAGGGTTGGACCAAGGAAAACGAGCTTGGACAAGATCAAAATGAAAAAAGGCAGCAGCATTCAGGATGATTTATAGAGACAGTGGAGAGCCTGAGAGCCAGCTAGAAAGATAAAACATAAGCAAACAAATAACCACGAACATGGGGACGGGGAATGCAGAGGAGAGATCTAGTCAGTGTAGAACACTGATCTCAACATCTGCTTTTGAAGGAGACATACAGGTGAAAGGGAGCCCAGACCGTGCGAGGGTTGGGAGGGGGAGGAGGCAGGTGAGAAATCGGAGTTCTTGTCTCCTTTTAGTTCATTGAAAAGGGCAGGATTCAGGTATACAAGGGGGATTCAGAAGTTTGTATACAGCGGCAGTAGGCCACTGGAGATCCCCTTGCAGAGGGGTCTCGGGGAGGAGATGAGCCAGGCAGGGTGCGATGTAACAATGATGAGAAATACAACCTTCCTCTAGTTCCTAAAGGTTTCCTCCCCGCTCCCACTACCATGACTCGAATTCTATCTTGCAAGACTGGCTAGACCAGAGGAGGTACACTGGTACAGATAGGAACTGAAAATACAGGGAATCCAGGATGGATGAGCCCTATAGGACCAGTGGTGTGAGTGGCAAAACAGGGAGGGTGGAGGGAGAGTGGGTACGAAAGAGGGAACCAATTGCATGGAACTGTGTGTGGCCTCCTCCCTGGGGGACAGACAACCGAAAAGTGGATGAAGGGAGACGTCGGACAGGGCAAGATATGACAAAATACCCATTTGTAAACTATCAAGGGCTCATGCGGGAGGGGGGAGCGGGGAGGGAGGGGAAAAATGAGGACCTAATGTCGGGGGTTTAAATGGAGAGAAAATGTTTTGAGAAACGATGTACAAATGCGCTTTACACAATTGATGTGTGTATGGATTGGGATAACAGTTGTATGAGCCCCTAATAAAATGTTAAAAAAAAAAGATAATGGAATTTCCCACTAAGCGTTTGAAGCCACCTCCCCACCTACTGCAAAAACAGATGGGGAATGCATGGTGTTAGATTTCGAGGGCTCAGGCATTAGGACTCTGTCCCATTACAGTGTCCACGGAAAAAGCCATAAACATGAAAAGAGGAAAAGAATATGGAAACCATTCTACAGATAAGATCTCAGAAGTAAGTGATAAGGATGGCAGGCATAGGGAACGCTGCCTTGAAGGCCATGTTCCCATCTTCCTGGTGGACATCATGTCCACCACAGTCCTCTTTCTCCTTCGGCTTGGACACAGATTCTGGATCCTACCCCAGATTTCATTTCAGTGAGCCACTAGCAAGGGACTAAAGGTGACACTCATGATGAAAGCCATTTGATAGCCCTGGTATGATGTTTAAGGAGCTATGGACTAAAACTTGAAGTTCAAGAAGATTATCAGTTCTGAATACATAGTACAGAGAGCCAGTTACTATTTTAAGGGCAATTTATTTCAGGAACGAGCAGTAGTACAGAAAAAGGAAATGTATTGATTCCTTGATAAAATCAAAAGATCCCAAACTGAAATTCACTGCCATTGAGTTGATACTCACAGTGAACCTATAGGACAGAGTAAAATTGCCCCCCCCCCCAACCCCCCTGTGGGTTTCTGAGACTGTAACTCTTTACAGGAGTAGAAAGCCCCATTTTTCTCCTTTGGAGTAGCTGGTGGTTTTGAACTGTTGACCTTGCAGTTAACAGCCTAACCCATAACTACTAAAAACTGAGGTGGTAACAAATACATACAAGGAACCTGGGTTAGCACAAGCAGCTTGCATTTGACTGCTAACCTGAAAGGTAGTGGTTTGAGACTGTCTAGTGGCTCTGTGGGAAAAGGCCTGTCAAATTACTTCCACAAAGATGACAGCTAAGAAAATCCTATGGGATGGCTCTATTCTGTAGCTTATGGGATCCACGGGAGTCAGGGGCTGACCTGGCAGCAGCTAACAACAACAGGTGCACAGGAACAGTTTGTGTAAATTAACGAATGGATTAGTTCTCACTCAGTGGCAAAGCTCAAACCATCAGAGATCGTGCGAACATTCAGAAATTGGCTCACATCCTCACTTACCTTGCTGAACTGGAGAAAAAAGTAAGGGTCGTCTTCTATGATGAGGAAGTCGTACTTTCTTGCCAGCTAAAACGATTAAAGTAAAATATACTTATTTCCCAAGGACTACCTGGGATTCGAATCATTTGGAACCACACATTTTTAAACTCATTCAACAAGTATTTGTTGAACTTGATAAAGCAGAGGGCGAAGATGAAAAAAAAAGGGCGGGGGGAGGACCTCCATGAGGTGGGTTGAATAACAGCTGTAAGGCTGGTCAAAGTCTGGTGAGAACCCAAGTTCCCCTGTGTTTGCCCCCAGTCAACCCTATAAAGTTTTGCCCAAGACTGCTCGTGTGAAAAGTTCTGTACAAATGGGACACAATGTATCTTTGCCAGAAACCAGTGAACTCGGGACCTTGACATCCACAAAGGAATCACTGAACTATTAAGTATGACAACCAAAAATGAATACTGGGAGCTTTCATGATGCCAATCAGTCAAGGAAACCCACCCTGTGTTTCCCACCTCATTTCCGAGCCCATTCCTCATGGCTGTCTACTATATAAAGGCACTGGTTCCTGAGCACGAGACTGATGCATGTTACAGCCACAGCCAGGGATGACAGACTGTTCTATCTTGACTCGTCTGCAGCCAGGCAAGTTATAAACTTTGCTGTTTGCAGCCCACCTGGCCTGGTGACTGAATTGAGTCTCTTCTCTTGATTTACAATAGTGCAGCAATGAATTCAAATATACCAAGGATCATGAAGGTGGCATGGGAACGGGACTGTGTTTCATTCTGCCTGCTGTACATGAGGCTGCCATGAGTTGGAGCTGCCCTGATGACAACTAACAACACTGTGATGGGCAAATGAGGATGAGGAGGTACAGAAAACACCAAAGGCTCTTGTCTCCTGGAATTTACATGCAGAGTCTCAGAGTCTCTTATAATGGGAAGCAGGCTATACATAAGCCAATTTGTAGCAAAGAGAAGAAGAGTAGACAGCTGGGTCTTAAGTCCCAAGTAGATAATGAATGCTGTGATGTGTGAGAGACTCGTAGCAACCCTGCAGGATTGAATGAGTAGATCTGCCTCTGTGAGAGCCTAAGATTTTTATGGGGAGTAGAAAGCCTCATCTTTCTCTTTCAGAGTGGCTGGTGGTTTCAAACTGCTGACTTTGTAGTTAGCAACTCAATGCGTAACCCACTACGCCACCAGGTTGCTATGAGTCAGCATTGATTTGATGGCAATGAGTTTGGTTTGATGTGAGAGAGAAGGGAGAGAGAGAGAGACCAGGCAGCTATTTCAGGTTGAACCCTTGTGAAGCCTTCTCAATGAGCAAACAATGGAGCTCATAGTACAAGAAAGAGCTAGTTGTGAAATATCAGGGAAGACTGAAGATTCCAGACTGAGGAAAGAATGAGATCAAGGGTCCTAGTGTGAGAGGAAAAAAAAAAAGTCATGGAATGTTTAAGGGATACAAAGAAGTTCAGCATGGCCAGGGCAGTATGCATGGCTGGAGTAAGAATGGCAAGAGGTATGATCAAAGAATAGAAGGCCAGATTGGTTTTGCTAGGCAGATAGGAATTTGGATCTTAGTTGAACTACAAGGGGAAGCTACTGGAGGGCTGTAGACATGGGGGTGAGAGGACTGGCTTTACATTGACAGTGCAGCAGAACAAATTGTGAAAGATCAAGAATGGAATGGAGTGGGTCAGGGTAGTGAAGGTGTGCTCAAATTAGCTCACTAAGAAAAGGCTTTGGCCTTTTTCTTAGAGACCATACTAGATAAGGGAAGGGTGGAGGCAGAATCCACAATATGGAGTGATTTGGGTGGAGGGAGAAGAGAGAAAGGAAAGTTATGAATAAAGGGTAATTCTTCATTGAGCATTATTTATGGAGACGAAGAATGTGCAGATGGAAAATGGGCACCTACATAAGATTGAAGAAGTATTGGGATATCAATAGAAAGTTGCACACAGAACTCTGGAATTCAAGGGCCAGGTTAATAGTAGGCAATGTAGAGTTATCACTACAGAGATGGGAAGTTTTAACGACGAGTGTAGATGAGGCTGTCTGGGTGAATGAAGGAAGAGAAATCTCAGGACAGAGCCCTAGAGAGTGTGCAAAATGAGAATAAGACAATAGTTCAGATTTTTGAAAGGGCTTCAAAGAGTTCATGGAAAAATCCCATTATCTTTAAATTACATTTTCCCCGTAACCTTTTGAAACCCTCTGATATACACATATACAAGCATGTGTGTGTACATATGTATTACAAGCAAAGGGAATTGTTTTAAATCTTTCTTATGATTCCACTACCTGTGATTAGATTCCGTATAGCATAATATATGTGTTGTGAAAGGCTAGGGGGCAAAGTCAGGTGCATGAAAGAGACTTCTCTGAAGGCATGGCTTTTATTTGACTTTAAAAGAGTTTCTGTATACGTCAATATGTGCTTGATACGTCTACTTCTCCATAGTGAGAAGCCAGGCACTGTGGATGGGTACCTATAAGAAATCTTCTAAAGAGAACATTCTTCTTATCTTACAGACCTGCTTTGTGATCTCAAGTGTGAAGGACTAGGAAGAAAAGGCAAGTCGAAAACAGGAAAAAAAAAACCCATGAAAATCAAACTTGGGGTCAAAGATCAAATAATCATATAAAATTTAACACCAGCCCTTTTTATAAAATAACATCAATTCAGGGAAAAGATAAAAAACCTCATCAATAATTAACAAAGAAAACATTTACAAAATCTCATCAATAGTTTACAAAGAAAACCTCTACTGTGTCTAGGGAGCCCTGGTGTGTCTGTTGGTTGCACGTTTGGGTGCTAACAGCAAGGGCAGCGGTTCAACCTCACCAGCTGCTCCTCAGGAGAAAGGCAAGGCTACCTGTTTCTGTAACGATTTGCAGCCTTGGCAACTCGAAAGAGTGTTGCTATGAGCTGGAACCAATTCAATGGTTGTGCGTTTAGTTTGGGTATTGTGTTTAAATGTATTGGAATTCTTGGCATAGATGATTTCTTTTTATTAAAACTAGGTAGGCAGAATGGAATTTGTCCAACAGTCTTCTAACAAGTTCAACAGAGACGGGAATGCAGGCACAGACACAATCCCCTCAGATACCTCATAGATTTCCTTTTTGCGGTCCGCTGTCAGTGAGGTTCCAGTAGGGTTGTTGCCGCTTGGGACAGTGTACAGAAATTTCGGAGTCTTTTTCTTGGGGTTCTGCGAATCTTCCGGTTTCCATTTAGAAAGCACTTCTTTGAGGGAATTTGGAACAATCCCATGTTCATCATTGGACACATTAATAATGTTACAGCCCAGTGGACGCAGCTGTTGAGTACATTAAAAAAAAAAAAGAAAAAGAAACCTCAAGATTCAGACATGATTACTGTACATCTGTCACCAATGTTTCTTATATTGTCAACATTACCCCCAAATCTATATGAACCTGTACTCGAGTCCAAGCTCCGGAGGGTGGAGGGTGTATAGTTTCATCCTACTGTTCTCCTGGGGTTGGTCCTACTGTTGTTGAAGAACAGCCCGCTCCTTCTTGGAGCATGGACCCTACTTCTCTGTCTCACTGATGGCAGGGTTGGCTGTGGGTCGGACACTGGCCGACAAACTGTGAGCAGATGTGACGTGCCTCTTCCAAGCTGAAGCTTTAAGAACCAGACCCACCGTGTCCAAGAGAGAGGAAGGTTCCATGACCCTTGGGCTAGAAATGAAGATGGCATGGAAGGTAGCTGATCTGAGGTGGATGAGAAGCGTGCGATCACATGAGGCATACACCTTGGTGGCAGGGAGCCACTGAGAGACTGGAGTAATTTCCTACATCACATACCCAAGCCTTTTTTGACTGGATTATCTTTAACATTATAATGAGAACTGGTTCATAAAGGAAAGGGCAGAACAAAACAAAGAAATACCAAATGAGTTGTCCATGCGGACTCACGGTGGCCCCTGTGTGTCAGAGGACAACGATGCTCCAGTGGGTTTTCAAAGGCTGGTCTTTCAGATATGATTACCAGGTCTTTCTTCTGAGAGTCCTCTGGGTAGACTTAACTTCCAACTTCTCTCTCAGCAGATGAGCGCCTAACTGTGCGCATCACCGAGGACTCCTACGTGTGCTTATCGATCCTAAAGTTTGGTGCCCCAAATGCAGGAATTCTCAACCTACCTGTCCGGAACACTACAAGTTACACAATCGACTTCCTTACTTCGATGTTCCAGTCTCGTTATTTTAACACTGGAGTGGGTAGTTTTACTTGTAGTACATTTGTTTATCACCACATCAAATTCCCATATAATAGAGTTGTGCTTATGCAGAGGGTAATAAAAAATAATAAGGAAAAACAAAGATTTTATACATTCAGAAAACTAGACATGATTATGCCCAATCTCATTTCCTTTGGTGAATGTTACTCTGTGTACTTGCTGACTGACGGCTCTTGTGAGCCTAGCCACACCATCGGGATGTATGTCTAACACAGAAGGTGCATGGGACCTACTTTACATGCATCATTTCATCCTGCTTACTGATGAAAGTTGTCAGTGAATTTTTCCCGGGGGACAGAGATGATTCTAAATGTGGGGTCATTCCTTCTTCATGCTTTTAAGGAAGAGAGGCGCCTCTTGCAAAGCGAGCACTCACCGCTTGCAGCGTTCCCGAATACGCAGGCTCATCTAGCATGATGTTGTCTCCGGGACTAATCAGCATTTCAAACACCTAACGAAAGACGCACACGTTAGCTCATATAGGGTCCTTTCCATCCTCAGGAGCCCCTGGTGCAGCATGAGCTCACTCAGATCCGAGGGCAGAAGTTTACAACCTTTTTATATAAAGCATCAGACAGTCGAGATTTTCAGCCTTGTGAGCCATGCAGTGGTTCTCTCGCACCCTCCGGACTGTACTGCTGCCGTGCCAACAGCCAGTGGCAAGGTGTGCGTGGGGGCCTGGCTGTGTCTTGATCAGACTTCATTTACAAAACGAGAGAGGCTAGATTGGATGCTCGGGCCATAATTTGCCAACCCGTTTAGGGTAATGTAAAAAAAATTACCTGGTTTGGTTTCTATAATTCAGTTATTCCTTTTAATCCTTATTTTGTGTGGGTGGGGTGGGGTGGGGATTTTACTAAATGTCTACTGTCAGCAAAGCGGGAATCCTTGGGGGTACAAATGATTCATGGGTTTGCTAACAGACAAGTCGGCAGGTCAAGGCTACTCAGGGGTGCCTCGGAAGAAAGGTTTGGTGAACCTTTTCTGAAGAGGCAGCCATCGAAAAGCTCTCTAAAATACAAGTGTGTTCCGAAAGCCATGCTGCCACCATGAGCTGGTCTACCTGATGGCGTCTCATCCCCCGCCCCCAGAGGCCAGGCCTATCAGCAGGGTTCCGGTGGGTCAGAGCCGACCTGACCGCGCCCAGCCACACCCCCAGTCCTGGGTGTGCTGCCTGAGAGAAAACGGTATGCACGACAGATGGTTTTCACCCTCACAGAACTGAGAATCCACCGAGAGAAGTGGGCATTCATTGAAGTCTCTCAAATACATGTTTCCTTAAAACCCTACACGAGTGGGGCCATGTACAGAGGCGGATGGTTCTAGGAACTCACTGTAGGCTGACCGGCCCTGCTCGGAGGATTCAAGGAAGGCTCCCCAGGGACGGTGAGCTCAGAGTGTGGGGAGTGACGGCAGGGACGTCTGGAAGAAGCAAAAGCCTTCTGTGGTTTCGGGCCGAACGTGAAGCGGAGAGGGCACTGCGACCAGGCAGAGGTGGCCAGAGATTGTATCGTGCAGGCCCTGGAGCCATGGGAGCCTGGCAAGAATTGGCAGCACCGAATGAGAGAGGGGGTCACACAGGGGCAGCTATGCATGTTGAAACAACTCTCCCTGGGTGAAGTTTAACAAAAATGAAGACGGGCAGATGTGCAAAGATGACCCGGAGAGTCACTCCTCTGTCCTGTCGTGTGCGGAAAGCAGTTACGAGCAAGGCGAAGGTCGGTGCAATCAAGTGGAATCAGGAAGAGGCGTCAAAGATGATACGCTTTGCGGCTGGAGAACTAGATCGCTGTGATGCGCTAGATCCCTGAGGAAAAGAAGATGCTGAGCGCGGGTTTTAGGGCGTGTTCAGTTTGAGGTGAACTAGGACGGTGTCTGGGAGATGGAGGGACAAAGGGACATGGACAGGAGAGGAGCCGGCACAGGACCTGTAGTACATGGTGACCACATGGGTGTGAATAAAGGTTTCAAGGGCGTGTACAGACGAAGGAAAGAGGAGGGTCAAGGGCAGCGCCCTGCCCGGAGGAGCTGCAGTAAACGAAGACTGGAGGTCCGGGAGGCTGACACTGCAGGGAAGCCTGAGCAAGTTGCTGCAGGCCAGCCTCGCAGTGGGTGCCAGCGGCTGGAGGGGAGAGTGTTTCAGCAAGGAGTGGGAGGCCAGCAGGGAGCATGGGGGAGGCAGGGGGCAGTAAGAGTGTAACCCATCTTGGGAAGTTCTACAGACAGTCCATGCCTGCTGACATCATTGATTTCTTTCTCTACCTAAATCAAGGGGTTGATTGTGAGCACGTCATACAATCACAAAAGAACCCCTCCCATCTCGAGAAGCTTCACAATCCCAGTTCAAGCGTGCCCTTCCTATCATTTGTAACACTGTGCATCTCATGACGCACAGATCTGTTACCAATGGTGTCTGTTCGCCATTCTGGCCTGGGATGTCCGTTTGGCCTTTTGTGAGCTGTTGGTGTCCTAGGACAAACTGTTGTTCTCTGGAAAGTGTGTCATTGATTCTTGGGCTTTACAGGCCACCCTTGGATCAGGACAACTGCTGGGGTGGCATGTGCAATATCAACAGAGCAAATGAAAAATGGAATTATATACAGTTTCCATGTCAGTTAGGAGACATGCGAATGGAAAATACTCCCAATTTCAAGAGAGGAGGGTTTTCTTCTGGCATTACTGTTGAATTGCTATAGATAGAACAGCAAGAGCCTCAAACAACAGCTCTCCTGGGGAACACAGTCAAAGACATACTAGACAAGATTCTCCCCAAGCTTGCCTGCAGAAAAACAAATGATTGGGGAGGGGGGAGGGAGGGGGAAAATGAGGAGTGGATGCCAGGGGCTTAAGTGGAGAACAAATGTCTTGAGAATGATGAGGGCAATGAATGTACAAATGTGCTTGACACAATGTATGGATGTATGGATTGTGATAAGAGTTGTATGAGCCCCTAATAAAATGATATTAAAAAAAGAAAAGCAAATGATTGATATATCTGGCCACCCATGCAATATCCCTTCTTCAATATGACCGATGTTTTGACAGAAAAGAAAAATCATTCTGAGCATCTCTCTGGAAGAAACCATTCAGATTGTACTTCCTCACAACATGAATTCTGCTGACGTGAACTTTTAAAATATCAGCCCATGGGATCATAAACAAATGCTTCTCTCCATGCAAAACCTAAAACAGTAACTATTTCTTTTTTTTTTTCAAAACTAAATATAGGAAGAGGGAGGAAAAATGGTGAAAACTTTCATTGCTACAAGATGTTCTTGTCTAATAAAAACATCATTCAAACCCAGTGACATCCAATGAATCCCGACTCACAAGGACCCTATTTACAGTTTCCAAGGCTGTCAGACTTATGGGCGCAGCCTGTCTTTCTCTCCTGGTGGGTTTGAACAGCCAAACTTTCAGTTAGGAGCCTAATCCACAGTGCCATCAGGGCTTCTTGGAAATGTAATGAAAACTTCATTAATGTTAACAAGGTTACAGTTTTCATATTGACTAAAAACAGAAAAAAGAAAGTTGCCCTGGTTTCAAATAAGTGAGTTTTATTTGAATCAAGATGGAGAGACTGATTAGAAGGACTCGTTATTCAAGAAAAAGGACAGGTGAAGTGGAGAGCCATGGGACAGCCTCCTTAGTGTGAAGACACCCGAGCAGATGCTGTGTCCGCGCAGTTCCTGAAGCCAGCTCACGGGCGCTCGGTCAGCCGATGCAAACTAGCAGTCGAAGCCTGAAGCCTATACTTTCTCAGTCAGAGTTTACAAGACTCAGCAGGAAAACACGAGAAGTCAACCAACCAGAAACTATGTTGCACATTTACAAGAGCCTCGCTCTGACAATTATACATTAGGTTTACTATGTTAAAATTTTATATCCCTTTTTACTCGTCTTTAACTAGTTCTTTTGTTATCTCTAGACTTTACCGTGTCTGTTTTGAATGTCCCATTTGACTGTTTCTATACTATTATCCTCTCATTAATTTTGACCTGAGGTGGTTTTTAGCTTACAGAAAGCTCAGGTCTGTCTGTGGTTTGGGCTGTGATCCTAACTGCTGCCCTCACGAAGAGGATCCTGAGTTCCCTTCCTGCGAAGACCTTTCCAACTTTCAAGATGAATTTTATTTCCTCTCCAGACAGGAGGCCCCATTCAAAGTTGAATTACCTTGCAGACATCAAGGCAAGAGTTCTCTCAGAATAACACACTGCTACCTCTTTTAGAATTGGCATAGATAATTTGTGGAAATGGTATAAGTTAAAAGTATCACCGTCCGCCTGGACAAATAAATTCTATTCCATTTCCTTCAGATCTAGGGCTTTAACCCTGTTTGGCATGAAGTCTCACACACACACACACAGAGTGTAAAGGTCAAGTTAATTCCTCTTGCTAAGAGGAGCTTCTGCAGGGACCCACTGGGCTTTCCACCAGTTGGTTTTCAGAAGTATGTGTAGATTACCAGGCTGCTCTTCCAACTCTGCCTTAGTCTGGATGTTCAGCCAAAACCTGCTGACCACGAGTTACCCTGCTGAGATGTGAAATGTAAGTGATATTCCATTGACCATTAAGTTGGCTAAGGATCAAGCAGCACTTCACCCTGCTAGGTTTGTCCTGTGTTGGAGCTCACTTGATAGCAACTAACAACATGAGGACGGGCGTATGTCTGACCTTCCTTACTAACTATTAACTAATTGGAGGCAAGAGTCACCACACACACGTTTATGATGAGCACTACATGAACATATTTAAAGTGCCTACCCCAATGGCCTGCTATGTAGTAAGTGGTTAGTAAGTTCCAGCTGTTATTAGCTATTGTCAGAAAGATGGGCTAACCATTAACTATGACACAACAAAATCACGGCTATTGACAGATAGGCTTCAACACTGAAAATGCCAATCCAACATCTTTCCAAAGAGCGGGGCAAGTTGCTGAGTTATTTAATATCTGCAGTTAGTTTATCCTTGCAGGCACATCAGAAAGCAGTGATCCTGAAAGTGGAATATTGTGAGGATGCATGGATGGAGTTTTAAAATGTCTTTCAGTAGAAGGTGTTCTGGGTTAATTGTGCTCCCCCAAATATCCAAGTGCAACAATTGCAAGTTCTACTTTCTGTTTAATGATAGAACACAATGAAACCAAGTTCTCTAACATTTTATAACGCGGACCACCTCTCTTCTAGGGCCCCAATAAGGGTCATAATCTTGGTTCTTGTACATGTTTTAGTCATAACCCTCATACTTGTAAATATGACCTTATTTGGAAATAGTGCCTTTGAAAATGTAATTAGTTAGCAAGAGGACATACTGAAGTAGCCTTAATCCGAATGACTAACATTGTCATTATTAAAACAGAGACCCACTGACAAATACAAGAAAGAAGATGGCCATGTGAAGACAGAGATAAAACGGAATTCTGTTGCTTCAATCCAAGGACTTCCTGGGACCACCTAAAGCCAGAAGAGACAAGGAGAGCTATTCCTTTAGAGCAGTGGTCCTCAACCTTCCTAACACCACCACCCTTTAATACAGTTCCTCATGCTGTGGTGACCCCCCAACCACCAAATTATTTTCATTGCTACTTCATAATTGTAATTTTGCCACTGTTATGAATCAGGTGACCCCTGTGAAAGGGTCCTTTGGCCCCCAAACAGGTCGCGACCCACAGGTTGAGAACCACTGCTTTAGAGTCTTCAGGAAGAGAGCCGTCCTGTCTACAATTGAGAATTGGATTCTAGCCTGTGAGAGAATAAATCCCTGCTATTCTAAGTCATGCAAGTTATGGTACTTTGTTACAGCAGCACTCGAAAGCGTACAGATTTTGGTCCTGGGAAGTGGGGCGACAATAACCAGTGCCTAACAAGGAGGAGTGGCTTTGAGACTGGGCAATCTGAGCAAACTGGAAACGTTTTGAGGCACAGGGCAGAAACAGCCTGAGTTGTCGAAGAGGTGGCTGGTGGAAATACAGACATCAAAGGCACTTTTGGTGAGACCTTAGAAGGAAACTACAAACATGATGGGCACTGGAGCAAAGGCGATCCTTGTTATAAAGTGTCGGAGAATGCGGCTTAAAATTACATTCAGTCACTGGGCAGGAAGTAGAACTTACAATTGATGAACTTGGATATTTAGCCAAGATTTCCAAGAAAGTGTAGAAAATGTGACCTGGCTTCTCCTGGCTTTTAGGGCAATGTAAGCAGGAGACACTACCAAACAGAAAGTAACCAGCGCTTCAAGATGTGAAATGCTCCCAGCTTATCCATATTAAAACAACAAGACGGCTCTGCAGAGAAGACCAAGTGCAGGACTGAACTAATTGCTGTTTTGTTTTTTTCTTGTCACAGAAATTAGGCATGTGAATGATGGAGCAAAGAACTATCTCAGCAGAAACACTGCCAGCTGAGCTGAAGCAACCAGGGACGGGCCCAAATGAAGGAAAGGTGCCACTTTTGAGATGCTACAGATAGAGAAAGATCAATAGAGTCTCTCAGACAGCTGTGAGCATGTGTTACCTTTTCGAAAAAGGGAAGAATGTGGCTCAGAGGTAGGTGGACCTGCTCTTGCTCCTGTGAGCCTAACGGATAGGGGAACACGGGTTGGCTACCATCTCCTCGGTTCCAGAGGAAAGGGTCTCTGGCAAGAGCCAGAGTAAAGAGGTTTGAGCCATCCTGTGCTGAGAGGGTGGGGTTGGGGTCCAGGGTCCAGAGACTAAGGCCAGTGGGCTGTCCACAGACCTCGAGGATAACAGTGAGCCTCAGGGAACTGTTTTCTAGCCTTGACATTAAATGGAATTTGCCCTGTGAGTTTTCACACATGCTTGAGAAACAGGATTCCCTCTTTCCTTTATTTTTTCCCCCTTTTAGAATGGCTCTCCTATGCCTTTACACCATTGTATTTGGGAAGTACTTTGTACATTGTGCATATGTACTTTGTACATTGTATTTTGGGTAACATTTTCCAGGTTTCACAGGTCCACAGAGAAGAAGGAAGTTTGTCTCACAGATGAAAAAGAATCTTGCTCTAGGATGGATTTGTACCAAAAGTTTCACCCCTATTTGATTTAAGTGTTCTAAGAGATTTGGGGTTGAATATATTTACATGTAATTTTTTGACTCAGAGATAATGCTGGAATGGATTAAAACTTTTGGGGGTAAATCCCTTTTGTACAAGGGAAGAACATAAATTGTGGGAAGCCAGAGGGCAGACTGTTATGAATTAAACTGTGTTCCCTCCAAAAGATATACTGAAGTCCTAACCCCTGGTATCTCATTTGGAAATAGTGTCAGGAGATGTAATTAGTTATCTAGAGACCACCGTGGCATAGAGGGAGTCCTAATCCACCATGACTTGAGTCCTTATCAAAGATGAGACATAGACACAGATACAAAGAAGACGGCCAGGAGATGATGGAGACAGAGATTGGAGTTACGCTGCCACAAGCCAAGGAATGCCTGTAACCCCCAGAAGGTGGAGTCTGTGGAGAGAGAGCATGTTCCGCCCAACACCCTAAATTCAAACTTCTAGCCTTCAGAATGGTGAGAAAATACACTCTCTTCTTGTGAGCTACAGTCTGGTACTGTGAAATGATACAGATTTTTCAGTTCTAATCACTTCTGCAATGCACGAAGAGCTCTGAATTTTCAATCAAGTGCGAGAGCTAGATTGTATTACTCAATCACCTTCCTGAAGGAAATGTGAGCTGTGCCTACGGCCTCGCAGCCACCTCTCAGCTAAGATGTAGACAACATGAAAAAACATTTCACCTTTTCTTCTCACACGAATAACCAAAACACTCAAACTCAATGCCATTGAGTCGATGCTGATCCAGAATGCTCTCTGGTGGGATAGTGGGTCGTGTGCTGGGCTGCTAACTCCACCAGCTACTCAGAGGGAGAAAGAGGAGGCTCACAGAGACACAAAGACTCCAGGATAAGATATGAAAACAAAATAAATTTCAGGATTATTTTAGGTCTTATTGAGGCAAAGAGAAAGGGAGGGCTGGAGGAGGAGACCCAAGAGGGAGGCCAGTGGAATGACTGACTGTGCGAGAGAATTAATCCAGAGAGGCCAGAGGCCCCAATGTCGACAGCGATCCAGAGAAGTATGACCCAAAGGCAGACATCATTCATGAAGTGATGAATGCAGAAATTATGCAAATGAGTGACATGTTCATCTCAGGGGTAAAAGGATACACTCTGAAAATTTTAAAGCCATAATGAATTTTCATAACTACAGGAAGGAACAGATACATCTGCATCTTTGGGCGCTCAGAAACTTGGCAGTGCAGCACTGGGCTTTGGGGCAGCTCTGAGTGGCAAAGTCACAGTGTGTGGGGCTGCTCATGGCAGGGACGGCAGTGCCAACCCCCCAGGCCCTCCACTCTGCAGGAGAACGATGGGCCTGTCTGGCAGCCTTGGAACCCTCCCTAGGGCTCACTAGGAGTCAGCACCGACAAGATAACCCTCTGAAGAATTCTAGTCTAGAGTAAGGGCATAGGAGTCGCCAGGCGGCGAAACAGTCAGCAAATATGTTTTTGTTTTTTCCTATAAGATTTAATAAGGCCATGGGGAGTCCTTCATAGGAATCTTGTTTGATGGACTCATAGCTCTAGGCTGTATGTTAAGAAAGAATGAAATGAAGGGCAGATAACAAAGGGGTCCTGTGATGCAAACGTTAAGCGCTTGGCTGTGGATCTAGAGGCTGGTGATTGGAACCCATTGGGAGGCTCCACAGGAGGAAGGCCTGATTGATGTTCTGCTCTTGCAAGGCTATGGCTTAGAAAACCTTTGGGGGTTGGGGGGGCAGTTCTATGCCATCTAAAGTAGCTCGGAGGTGGAATTGACACCATGGTATACAACCACAATCTTTAACAGTCCTGGTGCCTGGTGGTGCTGTGGGATCAGCGTTGGACCAGGAACCGCTAGGTTAGTGGTTCAAAATTCAGCAGCAGTTTCGTGGGAGAAAGCTGAGGCTGCCTGTTCAAAGATTTACATCCTCGGAAACTCCATCTAAGATCTCAGCAGCAGGGGCTTGGGGTTGAAATGACGATATTATGATCCTACTGAATTCTACCTTGGGATCCATCTTCCTTTCAGTCTTACCTTACAAAGACCGTCTTGGCTGCCAGAGGTGACACATACTTCCATTTGTCCTTGACTGGGTGGATAGTGAATGGTGGGAGGATTATGCAAATGTACCTGTAACTGTTTTAGCCAGGTCAACAGTTCTGGAATTCTAAAACACAAAATGTATTTTTACATTTATTGTAGTAAGAATTATACTACTAGCATACAGGTGATAAATGCTTTATACCAGGCTCTGTTATACGTTCAAACCCTCAAATGTTTTTTGCCAATATTAATATCCCAGTTTAAAAGACGAAAGGTTTAACAAATTCATACAAAGTCATTCAGGGTTCGAATGAGCTGAGATTTGAATCTAGACTTTTCTTTTTCTAAAGCCTGCACTCTTTTATCCTAAACCATTCATTGTAAAATCAATTCTTATCTCTTCATAAAAAGATTTTTTTTTTTGCCAAATTTTAAAATCGTTTTATTAGGGGCTCATACAACTCTTATCACAATCCATACATACATCAATTGTGTAAAGCACATTTGTACATTCATTGCCCTCATCATTCTCAAAACATTTGCTCTCCACTTAAGCCCCTGGCATCAGGTCCTCATTTTTCCCCCTCCCTCCCTGCGCCCCCTCCCTCATGAACCCTTGATAATTTATAAATTATTATTTTTTCATATCTTGCCATAAAAAGATTTTCATAACCAGGTAGAGAAGTTCATTATAAAAGTACTTTTCATGCCATCCAAAGAAAGAAAGGCCTTCTACTATGCAGAGTTAGTCTTGGAAACCCACAGGGGCAGTTCTATGCTGTCCTGTAGGGCTGCCATGAGTCAGCATTGACTATGGCAGTGAGTTTGATTTGGTATTACATACAAAGGTAAGAAAAACAAAGTCTTGCTAGAATACCAGACACCTTTATTAAACAACAACAAAATCAAAATATGAAGCTATTGTTTCTTGACATATCCACCATCCAGGTCTACATAATTCTGAAAACAATGTTTCCATCTCTCTAACCCTTACCCAAAGAATTCCGCATGTTTCCATTCAGATGGCAAAGCTGCACTGTGGCATCCTTGATAGACTCAAATCGTGTTCCTTTAAAATATTCTTTTGCATTTGGGGAACACAAAGAAGTGTCAAGGAGCGAGATTAGGGTTGGAAGGTGGATGAGGTAAGGCTTCCCAACGGCAGCCTCGGAGACCCTTGAAAAATGAGGATGTGCCTTGGTGTGACTTTTCTGGTCTTTTCTCACCAAGGCAGTTTTCAGTTTGCTTAAAATTTCTTCATAATACACCACTCTGCCCTATGTCCTTTAAGATATTCTATCAAGATTAATTTTTTGGAATTCTGTAAAGTAATTGCCCAAACCTTCTGAGCTGACCCCGTTCTACCTTGAATTTAACTGTTATCAGCAGGCAGCCGATCTCATTGGAAGCCTGTGTTTTGATTGGACTTTTTTTGAAGGCACACAAAGGACATGAAAACCACTGTATAATGGAGAGAACTTGCCTGCAGTCATCTGCTAATTGCAGAATGTACTTAGATCGATTTTGTCTAGAATAAACCAGTGCATATATGATCTGGAACCTCATTGACAACAGTTTTTAACTCTGTGTGTGTGTGTGTGTGTGTGTGTGTGTGTGTGTGTGTGTAAGTGAAAGAGACAAGCTTGAAAACACATCCATGGAAAAAATTCCATCATCTTTTAATTACATTTTTTCCTAGGAAATGTTTGAAACCCATATGTATTGTACTCCAATACATTTTCCATCACAGAACAAAGGCCTTGATAACGCATCATTTATATCCGCATTCCATAAAATATCCTTTATCCTTAGAAGAATGACTTTTAAGTTTATAACAAAGAGTGTCTGCTTAAAAAGGGTGAATAGTGATTAGCAAATTATTTTTGCCCCGGATTTAAAATTGCTGCCTCCACTTCCGGGGTCCTCTTTGGCTTCCTTTCTCCCAGCCTGTTTCTTCACCTAGCGGCGGTCTCATTTTTCAAAGACTCCGTTCCAATGGTGCTTCCTTCTCTCAAAGCAGTCCCGAAGAAATTTGAGATGCTAGGTGTTTCTTTACTCTTTGAAAGCTCTTTTCCAAAAAGGTCCCAATAGTTGAACTCTTAAAAGACACAAGTCACTTTGTCAGTTGGCCACAGTGTGATCCAGCACCATCAGAACTACTGAGAACGACTCAGTTCTGGGAGGATATTTTGAAATTCCTTGGAGAATACGGACCGATTTGGTATAGATAATGCTCAGCGACTATCTTTGACTACCTACCCAGCGCTCTGCGAATACTGAAGAGCTCGCTTCATCACGTCTTCTCCAAAGTGGATGGGCTTTCCATTTTCTATGGTGACACTGGCCGTCTTAAAGGGGAACATGTTCGGATTTGGGGACCCGGGAGCCAAGGAGATGAACGATTCGGGGGCCTTGCTCAGAATATCAGCTACAAGAAACATGGAAGAGAGAGAGAGAGAGAGAGAGAGAAACATGTTCACCGAAGACAGTCCTAAGGAAAATAACTCGGTGTCCACTGGGCCGGAGAAACTATCAAGTTCGATCATGTGGAGTGATAGCATCATGGCATCAAAATCAACAAGCGGAGGAACATTTCCTCTTCCCACTCGACTGGTGCTAAGGGTCGAGAGAGTTTGGCAAACAGGACGGCAGCGATCAGGAAAATAGGCAAAGGGCCTCTTCAGTTTGACCCGATGCACCCCTGGACCTGTCACATTTACCGGGCGGCCTCCGCTGACCTGCACGCGTCTCCTCCCTCGGAGGGCCTGGCCCAGCGTAGCCTGTGGCCGTGACCGCTGCCGCCGCCCTTGTAGCCCAAACCACGCCGCGCTCCTGGCTGGTGGGAGTCCTGGGAAATCACGGCCGGTGCGGGTTCATGTGCGCCCCCGAGCCTGGCTGGCTCACGGCCCGTTTTCAAAGGCATCGTGAACCCAATGCTACAGGTGACCGTTGAGACCCCCGGGGCCAGCAGGAAGGGCGCCGGGCGCAGTACTCACTCAGGACGCGGATGGCAGAGGGCTCGCGGGCTGCGCTCGTGGCCGTGAGGAACCGGGCGTAATTCATGGCTCTGCTGTCCCGGCACCGGGCTCCTTTCCCTAACGGACCGGCACTCGGGTGGCGGTGCGTCTGGGTTTGGGTCTGGGTTTGGGGAAAAGCCAAAGAGCGCAGCCAAAGCCCCGCCTCCCAACCCCGGACTCTGGGGACGCCCCTCCCCGCCAGCGCCCCGCC